TGAGCAGGAATCAGCCACTCATACTCTGATGGGCTGGTTGATCAAATTGGAGAAGTCATTCCTTCAACCCGCTCAATATCTAGTCCATTTGGGGGTCGTTTTTGACACGAATATCAGTCTTCTCCTTCACATCTTCATTCTGTGGAACTTTTGGTTCCCCATGCTCTCTCAGCTCAGTCACTTTACTACTTATGAGGTTCTATTGCTTTTGGGGATGTGGTCCTCCATGACTGCACTGGTCTCTCTTAGTCATTCCCATATGAGATCCCTTTAGTGGGTGCTTCACGAATGATGGAACCTTGCTTGGGATCCTCTTTGCACCCCATTTCCCTTCCTACTTCCTGGAAGATGATCTGCAATGCTGACTGGACAAAGCCCATATGTCGGTGGGTATACTATTTCCCATCCCACATCTGGATCTACATCTTTTCACAGATGCATCTTTTCAAAGATGGGGACATGTTTCTATCATCAGGAAGCTTCAGGCCATTGGTCTGTGAATGAAACTGTCTTGCATATCCATGTTCTCAAACTTCTTGCAGGATTGGGAATTGCATTACTTCCTTCTTCTCGCCCATCATTGTATGGTGATGGTTCATTCAGACAATTCTGTGGTGATGGGACATATCAACCACCAAGGGTGAACCCAGTCCAGAGAGCTATGTTTTCAGATGTTGGATCTATTATACTCGGCCCAAGAACATCACAATTATCTTATAGCCTGTTATGTGCTGGGTGCTTTCAATCTTGTCGTGGATCTTTTTCATGCCCAGACCAGGTATATCCAATGGAGTGGGCATTAGCTTCACTCATTTTCAGGGATCTTTGCCAATGGTGAGGTTCTCCCCACCTGAAAGCCACTCAATACCAAGATGCCCTTTTTTGGTCACCTGTAATGCATCCACAGGTTTTTGGCCATCAATGACTTCAGCCAAGATTGGTGACACAGATATCTTAATGTGTACCCTCCCATTTGATTGCTTCATCTGGTGATTTCTCTTTCCACTCCACCCCTTGTTAGGTCCTTTTGATTGCTCCCTATTGGCCAGCTCAACCTTGATTTCCAAGGTTATAACATCTACTCCTATCACCACCTGTCCCTCTTTCACTTTCTCCCTCCCTTCATTGTCAACCTCGATCCCATGTTCCACATCCCAACCTCCACATCCTGTGTCTTCACACTTGGCTTTTGTGACGATCTGGTTTGACATGTTGAGACGCTTCCTTGTTAGCTAGTTTCATATGGCCATCTTCCATGAAAGTATACCAATGCAAGTTGAAAGTCTTCCACTGTTGGTTTACAAACAAGGCCGACAGAATTTCTCACCTGGCTCTTCGACAGTAGTCTTTGGTCTCCTTGCTTTCTGGTTATTGGGTGGCCCTATCCCATACCTTCCTTTTTTCCCAATACTGTAGGGTTTTTACTTCTTATCTTCTTACCATGCGATGCATTCCTTCTGGATACATCGACCCTGCCCCAGGCATCCTTCCCTTCTGGATTGGGACATTAATGTGGTCCTCCATACCCTTACTTTACCTCTATTTGAACCATTTTCCTCATGTTCCTTGTTGTATCTGTCCCCTAAAACATATATCCTTCTTCTCTTAACTTGTGGACATCGAAACTTGGATTTGGAACTTGGTCAGGACCGTTCTTCGATGTTGAGGGATTATTAAGTCAGACACTACTACAATTTGGGACTTTTTGATTTCTTAAAGGTTTTGAATACTTATAATTATTAATTCATATGCCTCCTTCAGTGGTGAGGTCAGTATCTACATTTGTTAATGGTTGACCATTAACTTCTGAGGAATAAAGTTGATTTATTTTTATCAGTGGTACCTGTTTTTGCAGAACTTGTTAATGGGATATTTTTTTGAAAGTTAATTTTTTCATTCCAGAACAATATCTTATCTCCTCTTACAAATAGCTATTCTCCACTTATACTGCCCTCGATATGCACAAATTTTTGCTCACCACTAGACTTGATACTCCCACCTACCTTCACACATATTCATGTGAGAATGCATGCTATCATGCAAACAATCATACATCAACCATCCACCAATAGCAGTGCAACACAACTCCCATCTTCACTAGCACCATCTCTTCTGTGCAGCCTGTAATCACTTCTTGGTTTGCAGTCTGACTGTTAGGACATGTTTTCACTCATGTCTTCTGAATAAAACTTTTCTTCATTGACAAAGTTTACTGGTGCTTATTAGGCCATGCATACTTGTTTTTAACTACAGTTTCAGAAGAAAAAAAGTTGGAGAAAAATTTTTTCCAAGTTAACTCCACTGGTAAAGCACTCACAATTCCATGTGGCATCTATCACAGCTACTGTCACTACTACAGCTGATTTTTCAGCCAGTTCAATGGCATCTGAGCAAGCATTATCTGCTCAGGAAGTAAAGGCTCTGGTTCATAGGGAGTTAGCTCCTTTTATGCAGTCTTGTAAGTCACCTGATGATCGTCCTCATGTACCATGTGAGGGTTTGCCTGAACATAACTTTGAGGATTTGGATAACCTGTTTCCCCTCCTGCTTATGCATCACACTTGTGTGTCATTTTGGGGGATGTGCCTAGGCCTCCTTCCCAATTTCTAGACTTAATCAATCAGGTATGTTATGTGTTATCCTTATCTCCTGTTTCCTATAATTCTACTCCTGTCCTTCTCAGTGACGAGCCCTTGGATCAGTATTTAGTGTTTCCTCCCTCTCCAGATATTGGGGTTCCTGTGAGTCATTTTGGGGACCAGTTGCATTCAGGTGTTAGTATGCCTCGACCCCCACATACTGTTAAGTCATCTGTCATAACTGTATTATCCCTTATAGAAGCTGGCTTATTGAATTTTTTAATTTCAACATTCCTTTTTTGGGTCACTGAGCCAACAGTGAAGCCACACCAGAAGTCAACAATCACAAAATTTGGCTGTAGGAACAGGATGTGGCGATGCTGAATGTCAGTGTTGAATTCTGGATTGTGTCCCTCTACAATCACTTTCTTACGCTATGACACACTTCAAACAAACAGAAATACTCCAACAGCCAAAGAAAAGGCTAGCAAACTAAAAAATAAAATGGAACAAAATAAAAATTAAAGTAAACCTTACCACAAAGCTGAAAACTAAAAAAAAGCTAATAGATCAGTGAGACAGGATCTCCCTTTAGTGAATCCATGTTGGCTTTCATTTATGATATCATATTCCACTAAATGATTTGCTAAGCTTTTTTTTACCCCCCCCCCCCCCAAATAATTTAGTTCTGGTTTCTTGTCCTTCCCATATTATTTTATCACTTACCCATCAATTTAGAAACATCCAGCTTAAAAACAATCCCTAGCTGCTTATTTTTGAGTTAGGAAACCAGGACTGGGGGAATGTCAAATGTACAGTCTGTCAACACTTACATAATTTTTTCTAAATTTGTTTTGTTATTCTGAAAGATTCAGTTTGTATATAACTTGTCAGTAAGTTGTCCTAGTAAGAACTGATTTGCACAAATATTTCCTCAATATTTCATGAAATAACCAGTTTGTATGTTAACTGGTGTGTAATTTTTATCATATTGGGTTTACAGATCATCCTAGCAGTAAATAGCCTTGAATATATCAGAGTGCACATAGATCTATCTGGTTTCCATTAGCTGCAATGATGTTTTCCCTATTTTTTAATTCCCAGCAAATTAGTAATATCTACATGATTCAGGTGAGTTCCTATATTTTCCGTAGAATGCTAAAAGTCAGAAATATTACATATATGCTCTCTTCTGAAAAAAGAAGCAAAAAAAACTGTTAAAGGCTCAGCCTCTCAACACAAACCTTACCATTAGCATCCTGTTAAGGTCCCAGTTCTCATTTTCATATTTTACTTACCTTTATTATATTTAAAAGTAAAACATTCTATTAGTTTAAACAGTGTCAGTCAGCTGTTTCTCATAAGCCATTTCTTATTTCTTAACCAAATTCTAACATCCTTATATTTTGGTAGATCATTCATTGTATCTGTCAGTTTAAATGTCTTAAATTTATGCTGTTTATCTATGATTTTCTCCTTTATTTCCTTAGTAAACTAGTTAAGTTACTTCTTCTCTGTATCTGTTTCTTTTTAAGAATATGCATATCTTTAATTAAAAACAGGTAATTTCTAAACTTTTCTAATTTTTGTCCATTGTATTTTAACTCATTATCATGATTCTTGCATGATAAATCTTGTCTCATGGTCTCCACTTTCAGGAAATTAGGAAACCAGTATTTCACTCTTCTTGTGTATAATGTTATTCCAATACTTAGTCCATAGTCTATTTAAATTTATCTGAAATGTAGTTTTGCCTGTTGTCTATAGTTGTATTCCAGTCTGTATGTACTCCATACGGTCCAACATGGCCAGGTGGTTAGGCCGCTTGACTCGCAATCTGGGGGTCATAGGTTCAAATCCCTGTCCCACCAAACATGTTTGCCCATTCAGCCATGGGGGTATTATAATGCGATGGTCAATCCTGCTATTCATTGGTAAAAGAGTAGCCCAAGAGTTGGCAGTGGGTGGTGATGACTAGCTGCCTTCTTTCTAGTCTATCACTGCTAAATTAGGGACGGCTGGCACAGATAGCCCTCATGTAGCTTTGTGTGAATTCAAAACAAACTGTACTCCATATGTAATTCCATTATGATTTTAGAAGGATGCTTATTACACATTACCACTTGTCTCAATATACTAATTTTTACAACCATTTGCATTCTATAAAGCAAGTATTTTAATATCTCTGATTCTTTTTCTGAGATTTTGCTGACAAACTGTTGAATGTAATAAATGATTAACAGAGAGAGATCTACTAATATTGTTTTTAAAGTATTAAAAAGATTTAATTATCATATGTTATGGTACTCTGTATCTAAAATTAAAGCTTTGCAAATCTTTTTCTGTGTGTTAGTGAGAACTAGTAATTTTTGTTTCTTGTGTTTATTTTATCATAACTATACATTTTTAATTCTTTTGTAGGTTGTAAGCCATCAAGAATATGCTAGCAAACTGGAGACTCTTGGCATAAATGTTAAAGCCAAGAACTTTCTGGTGTTTCAAGGTGCCGTTGAGTCTATTGCCATGAAGAATCCTAAGGAGCGAACAGGCTTATTTGAGGAAATTTCTCGGTTAGCATTATTACATTTTTAGACAGCTAATTTTTACGTTAAATTATTTCTTTATGTTTGAATATATGCTCTGATTTTTTGTCTAAACATCTGTCATTTTATTAAATGTTCTAAATATATGTGTTTGTAATATTGTTTTTACATTTATTACCATTTAATTGACCAGTAACTCATTTGCTTCAGTAAATTATTTCAGCTCAGTCGAGCATAAAGAGGAATATGAACAACTAAGAACTGAAATGATGAAAGCAGAAGAAGACACACAGTTCACATACCAGAAGAAGAAAGGAATTGCTGCAGAGAAAAAAGAAGCTCGACTTGAAAAGGAGGAAGCAGAAAAATATCAACGTCTCAAAGAAGAGTTGGTTAGTAAAATAACTATGAAGCTTGCTAAAGAATGGTTTGTAAAGAAGCACTGCGTTAATACAATAACTTTATATTGGTAGGAATCATTAGTTAGTGCAATAGCTTCATGGAGTTTGGAAGAAATCAGTAGTTAGTAAAACAGCTATGAAGATTGTTAAAGAAGACTTGATTTGAACAATGTCTTTTTGAAGTTTATATAAAGAAGTTCTAGTTAGTACAATAAATTCATGAAGTTTGTAAAGATATGTTGGTTAACGTAATAACTTTGTAAAGAATTGCTGGTTAATACAGTAAATTAATTGAATTTCTCAAACTTCTGGTTAATATAGTAACTTCATGGCATTCATAAAGAAGTGTTGGTTAATGCAATAATTACAGAGAGTTGTGAAGAAATTTTGATTAGTACAGTAACTATATAAAGTTTGTAAAGAAGTGCTGATTAGTAAAGTAACTTCATAGAATTTGTAAAGAAGTTTTAATTAGTACAGTAACTTCATGGAGTTTCAAAGGAAGTTCTGGTTAACACAATAACATTTACAGAGTTCAAAAGAAGTGCTGGTTATTACAATATCTTTAAGGAGCTTCTTAAAAAAAAGAGTTGATTTATATAATAACTATTTTTAATATTATGAAACATTTGTCAATAAACCTTTCTCTTGATTTCTTTTTGATTTTTTTATGCAGCATTACAGACAGAACCTATTATATTAATTTTTCTGATTGTTTCAAAGCATACTGTATCAAATTATGATTTGTATTAAGTCCTCACAATCTTCTTTTAAACAAAAATATTCAATATTACACTTAGAACAGGACAATTAACTTGATTATAAAATGTTATCAATCATCTATAGGCATTGATTAATATCACGTAAAATAATCAAATGGTTGAATTTATGATTGAATCAGTTAATGTTATGAAAATAATCAATTAATTGAAATTAGAGTTTCCAGTTATAACAGTTTTTAAATATTCCAACCATCCAGTAATGGTAATACAGTGGACCCTCATTAGTCCAGTTATTGACAACCTGGATTATTCACAATTATTTAGATAAGTCTTCACAATGGTAAATTCAGTCAGTAGTCCATATATTCATATTTCAAACCTGAACAGCTATTTCTTGTAACAAACATGCACTTCCTGTTGATACATGGCTCAGTAATTCTTACATGACTTCATGAGAGGCAAAGAGGGGACAATCAGAACAGGAAATAAGGTGATAATTCCTGACCACAAAACATCTGAACCAGCAATGGGTACTGGTTTCTGAGAATTAACTTCACAGTAGGTACATACATATAAAGTATAACAAATATAAAGAGTGATTTATGCTATAATCATGTCATTTTTATTATACTATTTTTATAATTATTCGTGACATATACAATAATATACTGCTAAGTTTATTTTGCATATAATGGCTTTTTTATGCCTACCCTTACTAATTTGCACCAATATAGTTATTGATCAATAATGTACTATTAGTAGAGTGTCCATTTTATTCAAACTGACTTATTCAACTATTAGGAAAGAATACTTCATTATACATTATGATTTACCATCATTAATTTTAATTGATACTACGTTGTTCAGCTGATTCAGTTAGTTCCATAACTTACAAAAAATATCAGATAATTAAAATTTGTGTTTCCAGTTATTACTATTTTCATTTATTCCAACTATCCTATTATCATGTGAGAATAGTTGATTAGTTGTATGCAATCGATTAATGATCCTGATAATTAATTTATTATAAAATTTCTATAATCATCCACCTCTAATTACACTGACATTAACTGTTTTTCATTATTATAAACATTTATTTGTTTCTACACCTTGCAGGTTTTCACTTTTTCACTATCAAACTGTTATGAATTAGAAATAATACACTGTTATTTAGGTGTTAGATATATCTTCAGTTTTACTAAACATATCTAAAGTTGGAAATAATGTGGTGGAGGGAAAGTAGATGGAACTTTAAAAATATATTTAAAGCTTTTGAATACATTTAATAAGTTTTTAGACAGGTGTATTGTTGAGACAGCCTTTAAAATTCAGACTACTTTCCAACCAGGTACCTTACTTCTGCTCATGTACATAGTTATTTTCATTCAGTGCTGCCCTCTGTTTGCAAAAATATTTTGTACACCACAAGCCTTTCACTCCTACATGCCCCTCGGTTCACATGGATTAACCAATTCATGCATGCGACAAAACTCCATCAATAGACGTGACCCACACACACGACTCATGTGACTTCCTCTATGCTATTCTGCCTAACTATCACTTCATGTTTGGCAATGCTCGTGTTCAGACATTTTATTTAGTGCTCTTTAAAATCGAATTTGAATTTTTGTAGCATTTATTTTCTAATTTAAAATCTATAATTTTCCATAATATTATTTCATTGTGGTGTTATTTCATTCCAAAGTCAGTTAAATGAACTCCTCATGAATTCAAAGGCCATTGGGGATATACCCATTGAGGTTACTCCCCACACTTCTTTGAATTCCTCGTGAGGAGTTATTGCCAAGAAGAACTTAAAGTCTATCCCTGAGTCAGAGATCCTTGCTGGTTTCTCCAGCCAACGAGTTTCAGCAGTTTGTCAAATCACCACTCATCTAAATGGTATTATGGTGCCGACCTTTGTTGTCATTTTGACGTTTTCATTGCCACGTCCACCTGCCACTGTTAAAGTGGGTTATTTCAATTGTAAGGTACGGCCCTATATTCCCAACCCTCTCCGATGTTTCCAGTGCCAGCAGTTCGATCATTTGAAGACATATTGTCATGGTTCTGTGACGTGTCTTCATTGTGGTGGCAAGGACCACAACGCTTACGAGTGCAAACTGGACCCTCCCTGAATTAATTGTAATGGTTCCCACCCCTCTTACTTTAGGTCTTGCCCTAAGTGGGTGGAGGAGAAAGAGGTACAGCGTTTGAAGACTGTTAACAACATTTCTTACCCTGAGGCTCGAAAGCTATTGTTCCATACTCCAATCTCTGTCTCCACTACTCTTTCCAGTGATTGCCTGGGTCCACCTCCTCGAGCACCAGCCTCCGGTGTCTGCTTGGGTCCTTCTTTGGCCCCTAAATGCAGGATGATCATTCGATCACGTCCTCAGTCATTGGATTCACAGTCTTATGACAGAGATCTGCCTGCTCGATCAAGGGTAGAATCCATGGAGGTCGATCAACCTTCTTCTAGTAAAGAAAAATAGCATGGTCATAAACTGAAAGGTTCTCTACCCTGTTCTCCTCCACCCACATAAAAATGGCCACTTTGATACAGTGGAATTGTCGAGGTTTTCGTTCTAATCTTCATGACATTAAGACCTTGATCGACTCCTATCATCCCATGTGTCTCTCCTTACAGGAAACATTTCTGAAACCTACCAATACAGTCACCTTTCGGCAGTTTTCTTTGTACCAGATGACAGGTTGGGTAATGGACGAGTGCATGGAGGCGTGGCACTGCTGGTCGACCAGCATATGCCCTCCTTATCTATGTCCCTCAATACACCCTTGGAGGCTGTAGACATCCGTGTTCCCTTGGGTCATACCATCACTCTACCTGTTCTCTCTACCTGTCTCCTGAGGAGACTTATAATCAATTGGACCTTGATGCTTTCGTTGACCTGTTGCCATCTCCCTTTTTAATTCTGCGAGACTTTAATGGACACAACCCCCTCTGGGGTGTTGCTGATATTGATGGGAGGAGTCGTTCCATAGAGCATATGCTCTTGGATCACAACCTTTCTCTCTTCAATACTGGATCTTATACTTATTTTCATGCACCTTCTCAGTCTTTTACTGCCATTGATCTTTCGATCTGCTCCTCTTCACTTTTCTTCCACTTTTCTTGGATGGTCGACAGTGACCCACGTGACAGTGATCATTTTCTTGTCGTTTTGAGAGAGGCTGGCCATGGTCGATGCCACCCGACTCGAGTGCCATGGTGGAAGTTGGACCAGCCTGACTGGCCCTCTTTCACCTCTCTCTCTCCAAACTTGATCCTGCCATTGTATGTCTGCCATCAATAGACGACTGTGTGGTTGCAGTGACTGACTGTATTGTCCAGGCTGCTGCTCACTTTATTCCTAAGACCTCGACGTGTTTTCCATGGTATCCTCGTCCATGGTGGAGACCTGGCTGCCAGGAGGCATGGAAGGCTCAAATACGGGCCCGGGATACCATCCGATGGTATCCCTCTCTTTCTAACTTCATTGTTTATCAGCAGGCCCATGCCCATGCTCTGCAGGTTCGACATCAAAGCCAAAAGGAGACTTGGATTAAGCTCACTTCTTGCATCTCTTCTACCACCAGTTCCAAAACCGTATGGGACAAGATTCGAAAAGTCACTGGGAGTGATGCTTCCCATCCCCTTTCCATCTTGTTCTCCAATGGCCAGGAAGTTGCTGATGTCCAGAGCATTGCTTATGTTCTCGGATGTTTTCTTGTGCTTCTAGCACTTCTGTTTCTTCCCCTGCCTTCTTGGCCATCAAGTCTCGGGCAAAGCGATAACCTCTTTCCTTTTGGGCCGATCATCTCTATGACTATAATCGCCTCTTTACACTGGTGGAACTCAAATTTGCTCTTCATTGGTCTAGTAGTACATCGATCAGACCTGATGATGTTCATTATGAGATGCTGTACCATCTTTCTCTTGCTTCTCTTGCTATTCTTCTGGTAATTTTTAACCAGATGTGGCAGGAGCATGTTTTTCCTTATGCTTGGCACCAGGCTATTGTCCTCCCTTTCTCTAAACCTATGAAGGATTCCAAGATTCCTTCTAATTATCGTCCCATTGCTTTGAATAGTTGTCTTTGTAAGGTTTTAGAGAGGATGGTTAAACCTTGTCTTGTTTGGTTCCTCGAATCGAACACGCTCCTCTCACCCACCCAGTGTGGGTTCCATTGACAGCACTCCACCATGGACCATCTGATTCGACTTGAAACGTCAATCGGGGAAGTTTTCCTCAAAAAAGAACATCTT